TAAAGCAGGTGTGACACCTCATCATGAACTTAAAGCAGGTGTGACACTCTTGAACCACGACTGTATAATGCTAGCAGCTTGTCACGGTGCTGACGGGTCGTAGGAGGTGAAGGAGATCAAGTAGGTGTCTCTGCAGACAAATACAGGAGGCGTATCTGGAGGGCTTCGTCTGATTGGACAAAAAAAACACTGCGTTTGTGTTAAGCACAGACATATTATGTCTATGGTGTTAAATGGTTCCACATTAGTGGCGTCTCCATAACCTCTTTCTGCCTCACTTAACACAGAACTTCCTGTTACATTTCAAAATAAGAGCAACATAAATGTGTAGTGGGGAGGGCTACATGTTTGTTTTTTAATACCTAGCCATTACATTAAAAAAACTAAATCTGTTTTGGTTGTTGAATAATGTTAAAATAGTTACAATTGATTCATAAAGAAAGAAAAAAAAGTAATCAAAATATTAATAATACTTCAACTGTCGTTGGGACAAAGGATGTTTCCTTTAACGTCACATGTTCTTGTTCATCTTTTAAATCAGTCCCTGCAGATGAGTGATGTCAGATTTCTGCACCTGGAGCAGGGATTCTGTTTACTGGTTCACCTCCTCAGCTGTCTCAGGTTTTAAGGGTCAGTCCTTCTCCATGTTTCAGCTCCCTTCATAGATCACATCTCATGGAAGAACTTCTAAAGAACATTTTGTTTTGGGCCATTATCTCGTTACAGGACTCCTGATCTTTAATTGAGATCAGACGTTTAGACAAATCAGAGTCAGAGTCAGAGATTCTTTATTGTCATTCGCACCTCATGTGGTACATGTGGTGGAGCGAAATTATGTCCACAGGGTCCCAGTTACATCCAACAATAAAATGTATAAGAAAAACAGTAATGACATCTAAGATATGAACTAAGAAAAACATCAACTAAATATACACTAAGCACTCATAACATAAAACATTGAACATCAGCACAAACATGAGTCTGTGAGCAGATGTGCACGCATGAACACATCAACATTGAAACAGATCAGCAGCAACATGAAACAGATCAGCAGCAACATGATATGGTTTTTCACAGTGATTACTCTAGTTAGAGATTCATGAGTCTAACAGCCTCAGGGTAGAAGCTGTTCCTCAGTCTAGTGGTTCTACACTTAATGCTCCTTAACCTCCTTCCTGAGGGGAGTGGGGCAAAAAGTGTGTGTGCTGGGTGGGTGGGGTCCTTCATGATGCAGGTGGCCCTCTTCCTGCATCTGGAGGTGTAGATGTCTGTGATGGTGGGGAGACTGATTCTGACAGATTTCTGTGCAGCCTTCACCACTCTCTGCAAAGCTTTTCTTTCTGCAGCTGTGCAGCCTCCATGCCACACATTGGTGCTCGAGCACAGGATGCTCTCCACTGCACACCTGTAGAAGGAGGTGAGGACTGAGCTTCCCAGACCAGCTCGCCTCAGCCGTCTGAGGAAGTAGAGTCTCTGATGAGCTTTCTTGATCAGGCTGGTGGTGTTGTTGCTCCAGCTGAGGTTGTTGTTCAGGTTCACACCCAAGTACTTGTAGCTGGAGACCACTTCCACCACAGATCCTCTTATGTTCAGGGGGGTGTAGGTGTTTTTGTTCCTTCTGAAGTCCACAATCATCTCCTTTGTCTTCTTCACATTGATGTGAAGGTTATTCTCTCTGCACCAGCTCTCCAGGTGTTCCACCTCCTGCCTGTAGCTGGACTCATCATTGTTTGTGATGCATCCCACCACCGCTGTATCATCTGCAAACTTTACAATGTGACAGCCTGGATGGGTAGCTGCACAATCATATGTGAGCAGAGTAAACAGGAGGGGGCTCAACACACATCCCTGAGGAGAGCCAATAGAGCAGGTTTCTCTTCAGATGCTTCAGATTTCATTGTACCCAGACCAGACTCGACCAACCTGTGTCAGGTGCAGCTACAACCAAGGACTAAAGAGAATCTTCTTGTGTTTGACAGCAGATTTAATGCTGTTTCTTACAAACCTTCAGTTTAAAAAAGAGCTGATGTAACTTAGCTAAAGAGCAGCAGATACAGCCAATCAGTGTTTGTCCTCCAGAAACGCCCACTGTTGGTCTGCAGAGAACCTCTTCTCAAGGAGGGAGTAAGGAGTAATGTAGCTACTCCATAAGAGAGGCTGTGTTGTGATCTGATCTTCTGTCCCTTCTATCTCCAGGCTCCTTCAGGACTGAGGGCATCAAGGCCTCTGATGTTCTGCCCATGCTGAAGGAGAAAGTCGCCTTCGTGTCGGGTGAGTTGAACGCCAACCTTCCCTCACTAACGTTCTGACAATCGTACATTTTGTTTCCGTATGTCCGATGTTACTGACAGTAACTCATTCAGCTTTCAAGAGGCACTTTGTGTTTCTGCTCTGTCTATGGCCCAGTCCTCAACTGTGGTCATGACATCTGGATCAGGACCCAAAGAACCAGATCCTGGATCCAAGCAGCTGAAATGAGCTTCCTTCATGGGGTGTGGGGGCTCAGCCTTTGAGACAGGAGGTGGTGCTCCATCATCTGAGACAAGTGAGGAGTAGAGCTGCTGCTCCTCTGGATCTAAAGGAGTCAGCTGAGGAGCCAGGAGTTTCATCTGATCAGTATGCTTCCTCAACTCTTTGGAGGTTTTCTGGGCACGTCCCACTGGGAGGAGACCCAGATCTCTCTGGAGGGACTGTGTATCTATCTTCCATGGTCTGGAAACACTTAAGGCTGGAAGAGCTGGGAAATATCTCTGAGGAGACGGAGCTCTGGGTTTCTCACCTGTTGCCTCCACAACTCAACTACAGCTGTGGTTTTTGTGTTTCAACAAGAAGTCGTGTGCCCAGACACTTCAGAGAACAGTTAGACACAAGTTTGAACAAAGTTCTGACCAATCAGTAACAGCTCTCTACAACACACACACATTCATACAGCTCTACTACACACACACATCCATACAGTTCTCTACTGCACACACATTCATACAGCTCTCTACTACATACACACATTCATACAGCTCTCTACTATACACACACACATTCATACAGCTCTCTACAACACACACACATTCATACAGCTCTCTATTACACACACACTTTCATACAGCTCTCTACTACACACACACTTTCATACAGCTCTCTACTACACACACACATTCATACAGCTCTCTACAAGTAGACTTCCGGTAAGATGGAGCCCGTGTACATGGCTTGCAATCCACCTCTGCTGATGGTGTTCGGATTATTTTTGTTTTTTGCATTTCTCATTTGTGACATCAACTCTCTGCTGGTGTATGACAGACAACAACTTTTGGATCTTTGTATTTCTGGCACTGAAGTCGCTTATTTTGACCATTATCAGCGTACCTCTGGACCCCCCCCCCTCCCCCCCGCTGGCGGACGTGCCAGCTTACCTTCGCTGGGCTCCTCACCTCCCTGCCCTGAGATATCGCTTCAGGCGCCGGGGAAAACGCGCTGGTCAGCTGGTGAAGCTGAAAGCTCTGCGCTCTGCATCTTCCTCTCCCGTGTGCCCGGACCAGGTAACCAACGGGAGTTGTCAGCCGGTGCGCAGCCTGGACCGACCTGGAGGGGCTGTTATTGAAAACCTGCGGCCATTTGCGCGCGCCAACTCCACTGCTGCTGGCTCTACTTTGGACAATATCCGGATGTGTCTGGTCAACGCAAGATCTGTTGCCAACAAAACTTTTTTCCTCAGGAACTACTTTCAAGAGCACGATTTGGACTTTCTGTGCATCACAGAGACTTGGATGTCTCCGGGTGAGTCCAGCGCCTTGACAGAATTACTGCCACCGAACTGTCTTGTGTCTTAACGCCCCACGGCCATCAGGCCGGCGCGGTGGTGGATTTTTAACAATATTCAAATCAACTTTTGACTGTAAACAACTGCCCATCCCAGTTTCCCGCGCCAGCTTTGAGCTGAGCGTCTTTGAACTCGGCTACTCGCCTCCGACGTTATTTGCACTCGTCTACCGCCCACCTCGATCTAAGGATTTCATAAATGAGTTTTCTGACTTCTTGGCTGAAATCACACCAAAATATAATCATGTTTTCATTATTGGGGACTTTAATTTGCACGTGTGCTGTCCTGAGAAGCCCTTGGTTAAAGACTTTTTTAGATTTATTGGACTCATTTAATTTAACTCAGCATGTAAACGGTCCCAACCGAGAGCGTGGACATACACTGGACCTTGTTTTAACTCATGATGTGACTGTTAATAATCTTGTTATTGGTGATAATGTTTTTTCAGACCACATGCCAGTCCAGTTTGAGTTCCACTCTCCCCCATCTAACTCCTAAGCCGTGCGTTTCTGAACGTAGGACCCGGAACATTAACCACTTCACTGCCGCACATTTCACAGATGTTTATAACTCTGAAATGATAATTCAGCCCCTGGTGTTTCTCACCACCACTGAGGAGCTGACATTCCAGTTCAACTCTGTCTGCTTAAAGACTCTGGATCATGTTGCACCTGTTAAAACCAAAAAATCAAAACTGAGAGCAGAACCTTGGCTGAGTGACGTCACCAAGGCCGTTAGGCAGCAATGTAGGAGGGTGGAGCGAAAGTGGAGGAAAGACAGGCTGCAGGTCTCTTTCCAGATACTTAAAGAGAGTTGGCACCGTTATCAGAAAACAGTGAAAGCTGCTAAATCCAAATACTTCTCTGATATAATTACCTCAAACTCTCGCAACCCACGTGTCCTCTTCTCCACCCTAAACTCTGTTCTCCACCTCACTGAACCACCACCTCTGGAAGCCTCGACTGAGCTGTGCAACAACTTCTTATATTTCTTTTTGGAAAAAATTGCGACCACCAGGGCTCTCATTTCCCCTCCAACTCATGACCCATCCATCCCACCTCAATCTGTAGCTCCTTTTGACCATTTTGAACCCATCACTCCATCTTCTCTAGAGCAGGTCATGTGCAGCTTGAAACCTTCTGGTTCCCCCTTTGATGTGGTCCCCCCTCGACTACTAAAGGAGGTGTTTCCTACTCTAGGTCCGTCCATTCTTGATATAGTAAACAGTAGTTTATCCACTGGCGTGGTGCCAAAAACCTTTAAACATGCTGCTGTCCAGCCTCTCCTAAAAACCCAAACCATGACCCCTCAGTCGTATCCAACTTCCAGCCTGTCTCCAAACTCCCATTTGTTTCTAAAGTACTGGAGAAAATAGTCGAGTCCCAGTTGAAGTGCTTCCTGGAGGATCACACCATCTTAGAGCTTTTCCAACCTGGCTTTAAACCTCTCCATAGCACTGAAACTGCCCTGCTGAAGGTCTTTAACGACATCTTCAGATCCACAGATACCAGTGATTCTGTGCTGCTTGTCCTGTTGGACCTCACAGCCGCCTTTGACACCATCGACCATGAGATCCTCATTGCTAGGTTGGAGCAGTGGGTGGGTGTCACAGGATCAGCCTTCAATTAGTTCAGATCTTACCTTACTGACAGATCCTTTTGTGTCTCCATCAAGGATTTTAGTTCTGCAGTGACAGAGCTTAAATGGGGAGTTCCGCAGGGGTCCATCCTGGGTCCCCTCCTATTCTCTTTATACCTGCTGCCCCTTGGTGCTATTTTCCAGAAACGCAACATGCCCTTCCACTTCTATGCCGATGACTGTGAAATTTACTTCCCCCTAAGACACAATGGTACATGCTCTTTTCAACCGCTGCTCAACTGCCTGGCTGACATCAGGGACTGGATGGCTTTAAATTTCTTAAGTTTCGATGAAAAGAAGTCTGAAGTCATGTTGTTCCCTCCCAACGACACGATCACAAACCACTGCATCGACCTCTCTGCTCTAACCCTGTCAGAAAAACAAAGAGTCACTAATCTGGGAGTGATAATGGACCCTTCCCTGAAACTTAACAATCATGTAAACATGATTGTTAAATCATGTTTCTTCCAACTGAGGCGGCTGTCTGAACTGAAGCCCATATTGTCCAAAAAGAACCTGGAGACAGTAATACATGCATTCATTACATCTAGGCTTGATTACTGCACTTCACTCCTGTTTGGTATCAGTCAGACCTCCATTGCACGACTACAACTGGTCTAGAATTTAGCAGCTCGATTTTTAACCAGTACAGGCGAAAGAGAGCACATTACACCAATTTTGGCCTCACTGCACTGGTTACCGGTTCACTTTCGAATCCAGTTCAAAATACTCATGTATGTCTACAAATCACTGAACAGTGTCCCCCCACCATCTCTCTGATCTGCTACAACCGTATGTCCCACCACGTTCCCTGAGGTCAGCGGACCAGTTGCTCCTCACAGTTCCAGGAACTCGTCTTAAGCGCAGAGGTGACAGGACCTTCTCTGTAGCAGGACCAAGACTCTGGAATGAGTTACCTCTGCTTGTCAGACTGGCCCCTTCCCTCTTGGTTTTCAAGTCCCGTTTAAAAACTCACTACTATTCAGTAGCTTTCAACACCAGATGATCTGTGTTTGATCCTGTATGCTCCACACTGGTTTGTGTCATTATCTGCATCGTTTTTATGTCTATATTCTGATTTACCTCATTTTGTATTTTGCTTTGTGTGTTACCTGTTGTTCTGTCTGTACAGCACTTTGGTTGGCCTTGTCGCTGTTTTAAGTGCTCTATAAATGAAGTGGTATGGTATGGTATGAATGTGTGTGTGTGTGGAGGTAAATGAGGGCACTGAGTGTGTAAAGAGTTTTGAGTGTCTTCATTAGATGTAACGGAGCTGTTACAGTGGGTTTTGTTTCTTTGAACTCTTTTCATTCTGTACTTTAAATGAAAGAGCTGATGTCATTTCATGACAAAATTAAACGTCGCAAACGTTAAATTCTACAAAAATATTTTAATGTTTGTTTGATTTCTGCAGGTGGGAGGGACAAACGAGGAGGACCGATCCTCACATTTCCTGCTCGGAGCAACCATGACCGAATAAAACAGGAAGACCTTAGGAGGCTTGTCACCTACCTGTCCATTGTGCCCAGGTACACACACATACACACACACCTTCTCTTCTTTCAGCTACTCGCTTCTTCAGGGGTCACCTGGGGGTGGGTTGGTGGGGCTTCGGGGGCCTTGCTCAAGGGCCCAAAGTTGGGACAAATGAGCGTGGATGCTTCACTTTTTTCACCCACATTTTGATGTTGTCGGCCTGGGGAGTTAAACTAGCGACCTTCCAATCTTGGGCCCACCTTCTCTGTCCTCTGTCTCCCCCCCCACACACACACACACACACATACACAACAAAGCAGCTCCAATGAAACTGAGGAGCAGCAGATCCTTGAAGTGAAGAGCTTCAGGGCTGCCCAGGCTTTGGAAACAAGCGCTCCTTTCCTCCTCCATGTCAGCAGCAGAGGGAGCGTTGATTTACGTTTGGTTTGTGGCTCCACCACAGACCCAGGGTCCTGGAAGGAAATGGATCAGAAGTACTAGGGACCATGAAGCCCGTCACATCTGAGCCGAGTCATGTTTTAAACTAACGAGTCAGCTTTGTCACACTTCTTTAGCTGTTCATAAATTAAAACTCTCGGCTCGTGCATGTGATGGATGCTACGACGTTTCACCTTTGTAACTTTTAGACTTTTTTCTTTTTTTAATTTTATTTACAAATATTTATCTACTGCAATCTCTTCTAAATCACTGCCTGAGATCTGCTTCAACTAACTCAATCCATCAGCTTTTGCTACTTTTAGCTTTTAGGTATCATATTAGCTTTCAGCTAGCCTTTTGCTAAACACAGCTCATAACCAGTACTTTGCTGTTTTTAGTGATGTGCTCTGTTCAGAGTCAGCAGTGAATAATTTGGCTGCTTCAGGGTTTATGGGCGTCTTCGATCGGTGGACATGATGTCCTTTATTTCGTCAGCAGAGACAGTCTCTGTCTGAGAGCAGAGGGACACCCATCAACCAGCTCTGCTGTTTCCATGGCGATGAGAGGACAGAATGTCCTCATTGGATTAAAGCAGGCTGGAAGTGATCCTCTGTCCTGCTGGACGCTGTGTTCTGATATTTGTGTTCTTGTCAGGTGGTAGTAATAAAATAATAATAATAATTATTATTAGTGATTGGTCAGTTGCTGACATACCTGCTGCCTTGATTGACAGGTGGCGTGAGGCTCCGACTCATGCAACAACAACAAAAATCATAGATTTTATTGGCCTGTTCAAGAGTGTCATCATTTATTCCATATTTATTTCAAATGTATTCAGTATTTTGGTGAATCTAAGGTTTGAGAAACGAGTTACAAATTCCTAATGATGGTTTCTTTATTTTTCCGGGGTGCCGAGCACTCAGGTGTGCTCGTGCACCCCCAAAAAGAGGCTAAAATAGCAACTGCATACAGAGACGTGCACGGGAATATCTAACCCTCACGAGCGCGAGTCATTATGAGCTAGAGCGGGTGCATGTGTGTCGTCTCTGACAGACAGACTCAGGGAGGGATGGGTCAGTGTTTCCCATCACTGCTGCTGTCTGGGGGAGCTTCAGTGAGGTGGACACCAGCGTGAGCAGCATGGATTATTTATTTAAAATAATAAAACACGACCTGAACCTTTGGTCCAGCTCCTCGGCGGTCACTGAGCGGGAGAAGGTCTCGACACGTTCAGAGCCTCAGGCAGCGCAGGTCTCTCTGTGCAGGGCACCGTTTATCATAAAGCAGGAGATGATCAGATGTTTTGCTTGTGCCCTCACCGCCCAGGGCTCTTTAGAGGTCGTGGGCCCCCGGCCATTAGCCCAGGTGCCCACATGGTTAATCTAGCCTTGGGTACGAATGAATGTCTTCTTCTCACCTGCATGTTCTCTTTCTCCCATCAGCGAGGACGTCTGCAAACGAGGCTTCACCGTCATCCTGGACATGCGTGGCTCCAAGTGGGAGCTGATCAAGCCTCTGCTCAAGACGCTGCAGGAGTTCTTCCCTGCAGAGATCTGCGTGGCACTCATCATCAAACCAGACAACTTCTGGCAGAAACAGAAGACGAACTTTGGCAGTGCAAAGTTTTCCTTTGAGGTCAGATTTATGTTCAAAACATGAAGGTTTTGTGTTTAATTGTATTTTATTAATGAACTGTTGTAAAACACCATATTTAGAAACAACAAATGTTATGTTCCTACTCAGGAACCTCCTGACGAATCTGCACCCTCTTGTGAATTTGTGCATTAAGCTCATACAAAAACATCTTCTGCTGGATAAAGTGTTCTGCAAAAATGTTTCATGAAAGAAAAAGAGACAAAAATAAAATGAAACAACAAATAAAAACACATTTAGAAAATTAAAAACTTTCATATGATGGACACCGATGCAGCAACAAGCTGGGGAGAGAAGTGGAGCAGAGGTTAGTGACCTGATCACCTGTGGACCAGCATGGACCTCAGGATAACTAAAGACCTGATCACCTGTGGACCAGCATGGACCTCAGGACAAC